GCGTTTGAGGGCGGCGCGACGACGTTTTTTACGGCTGCAGAGGGGGCGGACGGCTGCTTGGACGCGCGCGGCGTGGCGCCGAGGGCGGGCAACGTGCTCGTGTTCCCGCACGGCGACGCGCAGGGGTGGGTGGGGCGCGCGCTGCGCGTCGCGAGGTTTCTTCTTTTCCTTTCGCATGCTGTAGTGAGGGGCAGGGCGGCGGGGGGCCCAGCTTGCCTACGGGGATGCCGCCACAATTTCCTGCCACCTGCCTGCGCGCGCACAGCTGATTAATGCCCCTGCAGCCACAAGGCCGCGGCCCCCTCTCCCAATTTATGCGCCGCGCCACGCAGGGCGCTGGTGCACGAGGGGTCGCCGGTGGTGCGGGGCGCCAAGTACGTCATTCGCACAGAGGTGCTCTACACCCTGCCGCCCCGCGACAGGAGCGGGCGGCGGCGGCAGCAGCAACAGCAGCAGCAGCCCGAAGATTTGGTCGATTGACCTTATCATGCCTCATGTAATCAGACGGCTGGCTCGCGTCGCCGATCAATGCAGCGGAGGCGCCCGCGACTGAGGAGCCGCTGGCTTGGTGGCACGGGGCCTTTTTGAGGGTTGACCGTCGCTGAAAGCGCCACGCCAGCGGTGGCAACAATAATACGGGGTTGCTGAGCCACTTGCTGCAGCCAACAACGGCTGAGCCTGCCCATCTCGTGCAGATTACATTGGATTGGTTCTGGCAGCACGTCAAATTTGCAGATACACAGGCCCAGCTCAAAAACAAGGAAGACCCCGCCAGAGTCATGCCCCCGCACAGTCGAACGGCTGCTAGTGCTATGCACCCCCGCAGCTCGCAGCCCAAACCGCCCCGCCTCTGCGGCGCGCGGCCTGCGCCCTGGCAACCTGTGTCTCACGCCGCGCCGGCCGACAGCCGCAGCGCGAGCCGCGCCAGCTTGGGCAGCAGCACGGCCGCCAGCAGCGCCAGCAGCGCACGGCCGACCAGCTGCGCCTGCCGCACCTTTGCCAGGATTGCGGCATAGTTCAGGCTGCAAATATTGAGAGGGAAGGGGGGCCCGGCGGTCGTTTGTCCTATTGCTGCTCAACGAGGCAATCACCGACAAGTTCACAGCAGTGGGAGGGGTGGATAGATCAAGCTGCCACATCTGATCAAACAAGGGACTTGGCGGCCTGGTTGAAGCGAAATGCGTGCGCGGCCTGGAAACAGTGACACCAGCAGACTGGGGGATCTGGCTGCCTCAAAACATAAGATCCGCGATCTGGGTCTCGACCGCCTGAAACAGGCGGGTGATCTGTGTCGGGGGCCTAGTGTCCGAGGTTACCGGCGCGCGGCGGGCACCCACCTGTTGTCCTGGATCATTATGAACGTGGGCGGCGGCACCAGCCACGGCGCCACCTTGTTGCCCGCCGTCTGCAGCAGGAACACCGCCGTCCACAGCTGCCGCCGCAGCGAGGCCGAGTACTGGTAGGGGAAGCCCAGCGGCAGCAGCTCGCACAGCGCGCGCGCCTCGGGCAGCTGCCGCCGCTGGAACTCAGCCGCGAGGGCCGCCAGGTCAACGCCGCCGGGGCCTGTCCCCGCGCCGACGGCCCCGGCCGGGGGAGCTCCTGGCGCCGACGGGGACGCTGACGAGGACGCTGACGAGGACGCTGGCGTGGCTGCGGTTATGGCGTCGTCGAGCGCCAGCACGTCGAGCAGCGCCGAGTTGACACCCTTTGTGAGGGGGGGGTGCGGTGGGGGAGAGGGCAAGGGGGACGGGTGGGGTTTGGAGGACGCTGGCGCAAGGATGCGTCACGGGCACGTGCGTTCGGGTACGCTGAGGGCCGACTGGCTGTTTCGCGAGGAGGGGGAGCGTGGGACCCGTGATGCGACACCGCTACAGCGGGCCGAGGGGCGACTTTGCGGCAGTTGGGAACCACGCGCGTGTAGACTAAGAACGGGACCCCGGCGAACGCCGCCGCCAGACTTCCTCACGCACTCCCGACACCCCCCCCGCCCCCGAAGGAAGATCTAGACACGAACCCTCCCCAAGTCGCACGCACGCCCAATCACTCTCACCCCTCTGGCCCACACAAAGCCCCCCCTCACAAACACACACACGCCCACCCAAGCGCCCCCCCACCTGCCCCAGGTCTGGCGGGAAGCAGTGCAGCGCGTCCCCCAGCAGCACCACTGCCGCGCCCCCCGCGGCCGCCGCCGCGCCGTCAGAGTACGTCGGCCGCGGGAACGCGCCGCCCTTGGACGCCGCGAAGCGAGCCATTGCGGCGGGCGGCACGAGGGCGCGCCAGTCGGCCTGCGGCAGGGCCTCTTCAAGGACTTGGTACATGCGCTCGCCATCAGCCACGTCCCAAATGGGGTGGTCTGCAGGGGCGGTTGTCATGACATGGGGTTGGGGCAGGGATGAGGATTGGCAAGGTGTCCCCGAAACGTCTCTTTCTGACGCCGTTTAGGCTCATGGGATTGGGGTCTCCAACTTGGCCGTTTGAGGTTTGAAACGAGAGAGAAAGGGGCTGGCTGCCAAGGAGGGCGCCGAAAAGGCAGCACTGAGGGGCGGAGGGGTGCAGGGATCGGGGCTGATGCAGCGAGTGGGGAGCAGCCACCGAGGCGGCAGGCGCGCCGAGACGGGAGCCAGCGCGACGTGGCGGCGAGCGGCGCGGCCCGCCGATGGCAGGGGGCCCGCACCCGGCGTCGTGATGAGGTTGCCGGTCCGGCCGGGGCGGTCGTCCTTGAACGGCAACAGCCCCAGCCGCACCGCCGCGGCCCCGCCCAGCGCCGTCGCCTTGCGGCCCTGCAGCAGCGCGAACGCGCGGTTGGGCACGCGGGTGCCGTCCCGCAGCTCGAGGTTGGGGGGCAGCGGCAGCACCTTGAACCGCAGCCCCGCGCTGGGGCACTCGACCTGCTTCTGCGCAAAGCTGCCGCCCGCCGCGCCGGGCGCCGCACCGTCCGCCGCCCACGCCTGGAGCGCCTCGCGCACCGCCGACGCGGCGCCGTCGGCGCCGATCAGCAGCTTGGGGCGGAGGGTGGCCGCGGCGCCGCTGCTGAGGGCGACGTCCACCTCCACGCCGCCGCCGGCGCGGCGCACGGCCGTCACGGCGGCCGAGGTTAGCAGGCGGACGTTGGCGGCGTGATCTGGCGAGCTGATGGCGTCCGCCAGGATGGCCATGAAGTCGGGGCGCGGCAGCCAGTGGGTCACGCGGGTCATGTCCTGGCAAGCGGGGTATTATGGGAGGGTGCAGGGCGGGTGGTGTGGATGTGGCGTAAGGGGCGCTTGCTGGCCGCACGTGTGCTTGCAGCGTGCCAACTTTGCGTCCACAACTTGAGGGTGGTGGCGGCGCTGGGCTCCTGAGGGTTCCCACGCACCTCGGGTTAGAATGCACCAATGCTCACAGATCCGCATTTCCTGTTTTTCACGACAAGCAGGCGTGTGTCGAGCCTGACGCACGCCCCGACCATCGCACCAAACCAGCCTTGTGCCGCGCCCACCGCCCAGCACGCCCCCTGCGCACCCTTGGTCTCCATTCAGCCCGCTCTTACATGATTGCCCGCTCGCGGCACGCAATCCGCTTTTCGGAACCTCCTGCACATGACCCCTCTCTTTCCGCCTTGATCACCACCGTCCCCCCTCCCCCCT